TCTCTTCAGCCTTGGCTTTTGTTCTGCATAGGCTATCATTTCTCATCCCAAAATGCAGGAAGTTTATACCTGTCTGCTTAACAGACACTGGCATCGGTGTCTCCTTCCTGAGCAGGTCCCAGCCCCTCCTAGTCAGGGCACTACCTCTTTATGCTCCCTTAACACCATGTACAGATTCCATGTTATTTTACAAATCTCTTTAACAGTCCCTCTACCTGGCTTGAGTCTGAGGATGGACACGAAGGGCGGGATTAGGTGTAATTCCTCCCCATTCTGTCCACGGTCCTTGCACAGTGCTGGACCAGCCCACAGAGAGGAAATTCAGCCTCGCCCTGTGCCATCCCTTGGGAGATCATGGTGATCCATCCGCAGGGGTTTCCCTGGCTGATGTTTGTCACCAGGTCTTTCCCTCTAGTCCATCTGACTCTGGAAACTCTGCCAAAACCTGTTCAGGTTTATATCCACATACAAGCCTGCATGGACAGACGGAGGAAGTCTGTCTAGGAGGCACACTGTCTAGGAATCAAAACTGGCTCTCCTCACCTGAATGGGGAGAAGTCTTCTGCTGCAGCCCCACTCCTCCCAGGAGCAGGTAAAGGTGATCTGTGGCTTGTTCATATGTGTGGATTCCAATGCATATTGATACCAGGTGTTCAGGGCTTTCAAGGCAGCGACTTCAGGGAACCAGATCACTACGTTCGTCTGCTGAAGCACCTTTGAGTAGGTTTGAACCACTAATTTTGGGGCATGTAGTTGAGTTCTTAACCTTTGGGGCCACATGTCTGTTCCAAATCTCTAGTAAGAGGTCATTGTATATTTATCAAATAAAGAATTAAGTGAACCAATATATGGAGGGACACCTGGATGGGTGAGTGCCTTTGCCCTAGAAGGACGAATGCTCACCCACACTTTTCCCCCACTGTTTCCCAGCAAGGTCCATGTGACTTAGACACATTTCAGGATGCAAGCTAATAATGGTGAGTCCCAGAGCGGAAAGGAAGAGAATGAGAAAA